AGTGACGAGTATTTTGGAAGTGAGTGTTTCTAGTGGGTAGACTACAAGAATCTTGATTTGTTCTTGAAATGAACCGAGAACTATTTGAGTTATGATTAGAAGCGTTAGAGAAATGGAGCAATGTGTGATGTCTCCTGTTACATTTGGCGCAATTCGACGAAGAGGTACATGAGCTTGCTGAATGACCACTAGCCAAGCAGTTGAGACACGCTTTCTTTGCCTTGACCGTTTGAAAACGGTCATCTTCAGACATATTTAAGAATTCCTGGCAAGTGTATATTTTATGAGAGTTATTTTGACATAAGAAACATTTAAAATACTGATTATTACTACTATACTGCAAATTATTGCTAACTGTGTTAAGAGAAGTAAAACGAGAAAGTTGTTTTTGTTTCGGAGAATGGGAATACTCAGGAGCAAGATTTTCGAGAATTTTGCATTTTCTTTCAATAAATTCAAGGAACTCCAATAAACTTGGGAGTTTGTTTATATTACGATCGGTTTCAAATGATCTTTTAGTATTATAGTCTAATTTTTGAGTAAAGAGATTGATGAGAATTAAATCAGTGAGTTGATTCGAAATGTTGAGGTTTTCTAAGGCGGCGAGATGGCTTTTAATTTGAGTTAAGAAATCCCTTAGAACATGTGCATTGGGTTTTGTAATGAGTGGAGCATTTAATAAACTGTTCAAATGGCTGTTTACTATTAAATATTTATTTTCAAATCTATCGCATAAATTTTTTATTGCAATTTCGAAATTGGAATCAATTATTTCTAGATTGTCAATTAACTTTAACGGTTCATTCCTTAACACTGATTTGAGATAAATAAGTTTTTGAGCATTAGATAACTGTTTATCATTTGTTATTAATTTGGTAAAAACTTCAAAAAAACTGGGCCATTCTGATATTTCGCCCGAGAAAAAAGGTATTTTTAATTCTGGCAACTTTACATTTTGAATTGTGCTGACAGATGGTGTTACATTTGTTACAATAGGTTGAGTTTCAACTGGTTTTGCAGATAATTGCGTGATTTTCTCGTGCAAATATGAGTCTAAATTATAATACTGTTCTTCAACTATGTCCCTATCTGAACAATATTTATCAAAATCTTCTAATTCAAGTTCCTCTTGTAAGTTGAGATACTTGCGATAAGTTTCATTTAATACATTTTTGCGTGCAATATATTGACCGCAATCTAAAACTACATTTTGGTTTTTTGAGACAAATGTTTGAATTCTAGTAATACAAGCTTTAGTATGCCCTCTTAACTTTATAATTTTTGCAACATCAGTCATTTTGAGCGTGAGAAAAAATAATACAAATTTTAAATATAACAAGAGATACTTAGTATTAAGAACTAAATAATATTACCATAAAAATCTACTTATAAGCACTGCGAATCTAAAAATAAAATAAAATAACATGCGACGATACAAAAAACCAATTCGTAAAAGTTACAATAAGTGACCAAACCGCACAGTCCAACCGCGACCGAAACATAAAACTTCTTATCCCTTCAAAGTGACGAAACCAAACCTTCCGGACGGCGCCAATACGAAGAACCTTGGATCGTGGAACCGCCAAAACTGCGATGTGTGAATATGAAAGAATAAAAACTATGTCTTTTCTTTGCGAAGAAATGAGGAAACGAGTGATTTTTACGAATAATGTGAGAGAATCTTGAGAATTCTTGCGTGAAAGCGTCTTTGTAGAGACGAGAAATGATCGCCTTCGTGGTTTATCAATGAAAAATCCAGCTTCCAGCTTTACAAAGACGGGAACAGCTGCTGTATCCGGCTCGAAGGACATGAAGAACATAGGGGGATTTTATTTCTCCCCTGAATATGTTGCTAACTGCTTATTGAAGCAGTACCTTCGATTTTGGTTCTATGTAGTTATAATAAAATAAAATTGGTTACCTTATATTTTGGCGATCACACTCTCGTAATTACTTTAAATTACACTTAATAATTAAAACTATATTTTTTTTTTATATAACACAAAATCTTTTGTGGAGAAATGAGCGATTTATTTTAAAAGTGACAAATATTTGAGAGTTATTAAAATTGACAAATATTAGAGTAATGTCAGAAATTATTGAATGACTGTTGTCGACGTCATAAAGGTTAAGAAGGGAATTTCTCGCAATTATGTGCAGCAAATAGAAACAGCATCTGTCTTGCATTATCGGCAATTCGACCTATGAATTTTTTAGGTTGCGATATGCAACAGAAATATCAAAATTAATCAAAAGTTTCTAAGAATTTGAAAATGAATTACCCACAATTACGACAATTCTAACTCTACTAAATTAGGAACACAGCCTCAACTATCAAAGAAAAGTAACAAACAGCAGCTGGAAAACAACTTCTTAAATATATAGTTATGCTCAATATTATCTCACTTAGAAATTGTTTGTGGATTAACCCTAATGGGAATAACACTTAAAAACGCGCCTTCAAACTTTACTTCATACATGGTCGGGAAAAAGTAGATAATAAACGAATAATTACAAAAAAATGTTAACAAAATAATAAATTTTATAAATAAAAAAATATAAATACTTATACTAGAAAACTAAGCCTAATCGTTTTTATCGTATTCTTAGAACATTGGAGTTCTCTAAAATCCAAAGAAATCAATGAAATTAAACAAATTTGTAGTAAAAATTATTCTTTGAAAAACCCCCTATAATATTGATTGAATGTAATTTTATTGTAAAATGACCAGAAAAAAGTTAAAAGATAGTGACCGGGGGACAAGAATGGCGACCCTACAAACTTAAACTTAAGTTTATATTCCACATTATTACACTCCACACATCAAAAAAGATAATTACATCCTCTTAAAAATGTAATATTAATGTAACTTTTCAATTAACTATAATGTCTTCTTCCTCTTTTTTTATATAGGCAAATTGTCCGTTTTCTTCCTATTCGTGTGGATAATTTCGTTTTATCTCTTTATTTCCAGGGCTAATCTAACTATGATATTTTCTACCATTCTGCTAATACAATAGATTCATTTTCTTTTTCTTTCCTGTACCAATTAAATAATATTGTTTATTCTGCATAGTTTCTTATGTCATTGCTTTTTGTTCTGTTTAATAAGTCTTTTTCCGGTTATTCTTCTTCGTGTTCTCATCTCATTTGTCTTCAAATATCTATGCTTGTGTCTGTACAAATAGATTAATATTATTTATTCTGCATAGGTTTCCCATATCATTGCTTCTTGTTTTGTCTAATAGTATTTTTCCGGTCATTTTTCTTAGTATTCTCATCTCATTTGTCTCCAAATATCTGTGCTTGTATCTGATCTTGTTCCTACTGTATATGTCAAGACTGGTCGGATTACAGATTTGTTTATTTATGCTTGTTTGTCTAGATCTAGTATCTGTTTTACCGTATTGTGTCATTGTAGCACTTATCCCCTTACTTTCTCTTCAATATTTTTGTTGGTCGATAAGTTTATTCCCATATATTTAAATTTTAATACTTCTTTTATCAGTAGGTTTTCAATCTGAACTTTCTTTCACCTTGTTGGTTCCTTTGACAATACTAAACTTTTCATAATAAGTGATAAAATTTTCATATTAAATCGTTTGGCTTTGATATTAAACTGGTATAGTATTTATTGGAGATCTATATGGATATGGAGATGGATATATATATATATATATATATATAAGGTAAAGTCACCTAATACCGACCCATACAAAAATAACACCTATTACCGATCCAAATGATTAATACGAAATATTAAGCTTTGTGGATGAAAGGAACGTTGTATTGTCACAATTTCAGTCTACTCGCTAAAATCACGTGAATAATTTATTAGTGTCTAGAACGAAAGTACCCGAATTGATGCCATTCGAATTAGTTTATGGTCAGATTTCGTAGAGTGTAGGTTATGTGCGCTTGTGATTCATTAAAGGGGTAAGTACACAAATAAACAAATTAAGCATAAAATTCAAGTAGATATTTTTATATATTTATTATAAAGTTTGAAGACATTTCTATACATGTTGTCTATACTATAATATAGTAATTTTTCGAAGATTTCCAGTATTTAATGAAAAAATCGTAAAAATATATTGAGTCGGTAATAGGTATATATATTTCTAATACCGACCCAAGGTCGGTATTAGGTTTGAAAACCTTTATTTTATTAATCTATTATTTTGCTTTGCCATGTAGTTGCACCGTGATTGTTCATTTCTTAAGTACATATACTATTAAGTCGACGTTTTTTTTTCAATTTTCGACCCATGATTTATGTTATGCGTAACCTAATATTCTAAAAATTTCTTTGTCTGGAGCGACAAACATGTTAATATTTTAATAAGTCCAAACCCCTGGATAATGTAGTTAATAGAGATATTACTTTTGGTATATTTAATTATGGTAATTGTAAAAATCTTTAATTAACAAGAAGAAGGCGTTTCAGTCATTTGTCTCAAGTTTTACACAGTCGGTATTAGGATAAGTGCGACCATATTGAAATCAATTTACCGACCTATTGGGTCGATAATAGCAAATGCCATTAGCCTAATACCGACGCATTAAAAAAGGTGTTCGGTTATTAAGTCAGACATTGCACTCATTAAAACCGTCTGATATTTTTAATAGGGATGTTCACAAAAAATTAAATAGTTATTTAAAACATGTAAAACGATTAAGAAACACCCTAGGAATAATTGTCTAACATATAAAAAAAATTAAACAAGCCTATCTATAAAAAAACTTCATTAGAAATCTTGCAATAATTTAAATTTCAAGAACGCTCCTCTATTGGCCTGACGTCACTAGTCGTACACTTCAGCGCGCGCCATTCCCAGTGTTATTGTTTGCCCTGCTTGACATTATTTCAGTTCATTTAATTTTGTTTTGTTCTTGCTTTATCAGCTTTAAAGTTGACTTTTATAGTGAATTTGTGTAGTTTAAAGTGTATAGACTGTTTCTAAGCACATATTTTGGGTGGTGCAAATAAATAAATAAAATGGAAGAAGGTTTTCAGAAAGCTGATTCACATAACCTACCTACTGTAGATGTAACAATGATGTCTGATTTTTTGGCATCTTGTAAAGAAATAAATCAACCACAGAGTAGTGGAACCAAAACAAGCCAGTGAGTATTACTTTTAAATAATAATTATCCATTCTAAATCGATCGTTATACCTTTAATTGGCTTTTATTGTCATTGAAATATAGTTAGTATTCAAGTCATTTTTATACCTTTAAGGTGAACATTTTTTATTAAAACAAATTTTAAGCAATCCAAATGTAACTTTTAATTATTCTACAAACATTGTGTTTAAAGTTTTATTGGTTGAAATATAAAAAATCGTTATCAAACCTATGAATAGAGAATATACTTAATATGAAAAAGGTTATTATTGTAAAATGGAACTGCAAAAATAAGATCATTCTTTATAATAATAATTAATACTGCTTAGTGGTTTATAATAAATAAAATGTTTGTTTTTAGCTCTGCTAGAGAAAGTTATGGGGACTCAGCCATTGGATATGTCCAAGTAAAAAGGACAGAAAATAAGTGCATAGTGAAGGCAAGAATATGCCCCGAACATAAAATTAGAGACAAACCTTATTTTGTAAATGCTGTTGTCAATGAAGAACTTGAGGAAATACTGGAAGTGTCCTGCATCAGTTGTGTAGCTTCTTCTGGAGTATGCAAACATGCCATTGCATTTTTAATGTGGCTCCACCGACGATCTGAGGAGCCTGCCCCTACAGAAGTGGTATGTTACTGGAAGAAAGCCCCATTAGCACAAGTAGGAGCTGATGAAAAATATATTGAAGCTATTCATATAGGAAAAAAAATCAAGAAACACTCCACAACCAGTCCTAACACTGCAGGATTTTTTGAAGATGTGCTAGAGGGTATAAGAATAGGAAACTATCCATGCCCTTTAAATGCCCACCATAGAGATATTTCCGAAGTAAAAAAATTATCTGTTCATCAATTAATGATTGAATTTATAAGCAGTGATTTAGATCAAACAGCTGATAGTTTTGTCAATTTTTGTAACAAGCATGTAAATCCAGATATTATACAAAAAATTTCTGAGTTGAGCCACACACAAAGTGAAGATTCCCTCTGGTTTGAGCTGCGGTATGGAAGAATAACTGCATCAAAATTATATGAAATGGCTGTTTGTAAGAAATCAAGTGGCTCTCTAGTTAATCAAATTATTGGAGTGGCTAAAAAATTTGATACATTTGCTACAAAGAGAGGGAAAAAACTAGAAAAGGCAGTTATTATGCAAGTTAGAAAAAAAAATAAATGCAAATATAAAAACCTGTGGTTTGACAATTTTAAGAGAATATGGTGTTATTGGGGCATCTCCTGATGGAGTGACTGAAGATGCTGTTGTGGAGATAAAGTGTCCTATCTCAGACAAATCATTCCAGAGATATATTAAAAATATGGAAATAAGTAAAAAATACTTGGCTCAAATAAATCTTCAGATGTTGGCTAGAAATGTTGTGAAAGGGTATTTTTGTGTAGCACATCCGGATTTTGAGACCACAAAAGAGTGTACTATAATGGAAGTGATTTATGATGCAGAATTTACACAAAGTTTAATTAAAAATGCACTTTCTTTTTGGAAAAATAATGTATTTCCGTTATTGTACAGTAGCTGTAAATAATTAAATCTTCTTCTTCTTCTTCTTCTAATGGCGCTACAAGCCATTGTGAGTCTTGGTCTCAGAAATATTCTCAGTTGATTGTCATCAGTTGTTGAGAGGGTCCATGTTTCACATCCATATGTGACCACTGGTCTAATTACTGTTTTGTAGATTCTAAGCTTAGACTCACGATTCAGTAACTTACTTTTTATATGCATAAAAGCACTTATTACCGCTAAAAATCTGTGCTTTTATTTCTTGACTGATGTAAATAATTAAATATAATAGTTTTAAATCATTTTAGTTGTAAATGATTATAGTTAATAAGTTGTTATGGTATTATAATTATGTTAGTTCAAGGTTATGGGTGTCACTAGCATAATGTTCTGTAGAATTCACTGTTTAATTATGGGCTTTTGTAAGTTAATAATTGCACAGACTATAATTATGTCATCAAGTTTTTGCACTAAATCTATATTTACAGTTGCATGTGGACTAAGCATTTTGAAGTCTCTAATACGTTTTATCACACGTTCAATGTGAATCCGAACACTTGCGATTCTCTTGGTGAGTAGAACATCTTCTTTTGTCATCTTTGATCTACTTGTGATACTTGGAGGCCTCACTAAACTACAGTTTTTTTTTATTTAAAAAAGTCTCAATTCTTTTGAATCCCCTATCAGCCATCACTTCACAACTTTCAGGAAGTTCATTTAGAAACTTTGAGTTTTCAAATACTATAGCATCACTAGCACGTCCTCCATAACCTTTTGATACAAAGTTTATTAATCCATCTGGTGTTGCTGAAATAAGATACTTTATGGTATTGCATTTTTTATAATCAGACCAAGTCAACGCTTGCTGTTTAGCTGAGCTTGGTTTTTGAATTTGAATTTCCAAACAGTCTATAATTGATTGTACCTTGGAGAAACTTATCCTAAACTGAATTGGTAGATTTCTTTTTATAGAAATTTCTGATGGCCAAAAGATAAGTTTCTTCATAAACTGCGCTAAAACACATACTGTATTGTGAAATATATTGCTGGCGTATGTTTTTGAAACACCAAACAAATCACCAATCTTTTCAAATGAATCATTAGTTTTGATTTTATATAATGTCAAATATATGAACTGTTTCTTCAACATGCCCTTTTTTTCTAACACATCCAGGATGCCTTTATTTTCCTTTGGAATGCCAGTATACATACGCAGTTTTTCTTCAATTATATTAATAAATAAGTTGCGAAAATTAAGTTGCATCTGCCTTTTGTCCTCTATAGCCTCACTACTTTCACTGCTGTCATTGGGAGGATGCCAAATATCCAAGTCCAATACATTTGTTATTGGTGTGTCATTATCTACGCTGCTGTCATCATCAGAATACAACTTTTCATGTATACTTTTCTCAATAACAGATTTAATAGGAATCACAAGTTTTATGGGTGAAGTTGCAATATCTTTTACACTATTTTTTAACTGCCCTGACACTTGTGTTGACTTACTACGGTAATGCAATGGATTGGCCTGACAACCAAAGTCAACTTTAACAGGTGGTGACAAAGTTTCTACAGTCTCAGTATGATACTTGGCCTGGTATGAATTACTTGGATGTTGATTGTCTGGTATATCTTCAGGTAATACTGACTTAATTGTTGACAACTCAGATTCCACTAAAATGTCTTCTATTTTTCTTTTTCTGCCTCTGCTTTCACTACTTGGCCGGAAGGTAGTTTTTTTTTGTCTGGCTGACAAGTAAATATATGTGGAACTACTTCAGGTTTCATTCGAGCAGCAACTTTACTGAGTCTATATTCCATATAATTTTCCATGTCTTCTTCAAGCTAAAAAAAAAATAAATGCTTAAGTAATTGTCTCCAAAAAAGTTAGTCAAAGTTGTATGTATGCATGGCTACATTGGCTGGCTATTAGGTACTTTACCTTGCTTAGGTGTATTAAAAATATTTTCAAACTAGGTAACCATTTTATAATTTTAACTAAACGATTAATGATTTTAATATAATATAAATTCATAGCCATATCCACATGTGACCATTTCAGTGCATTTTACTGTATGCATTATTACTTTTATCAGTATTGAGAATTTTTATAATTTATTTTTTTATAACCAAGCTAACCTAAGTCTAAAACTTATAGAATTGGGTAAAAATTAGTAATTTAAAAACTTATTATTTAGAAACACGATCCATAACTTACATTAAAGTGATCTTCACAACAGAAAAACTTAGTTTTTATTGACACTTCCTTGATGTCCCTTCTAGCTGCAACAAACCATTTCTTTTTACGGTTTAAATTGTTTGGAACTGTAATAAAAATCTTCTCAGAATTGTTTCTAGACCTATTTAGACACCCCGGAACAAAACACCACTTATTTGGCTTCATTATCACTGTATAAATACGGTTACACTTCGTAAATACATATACACAAAAGTTGTCGATACGACTGCTGACGTCACACACTGTAGCCTCGCTGCGAGGAGCCGTTTTTCTAGCCTCCATCAAAATTAAAATTAAGAATTGATTTATCTTAAAAAATACATATTTTTAAACAATTTCATGTTTGCTATATTTTTATATATTTTATAATCTATTGAATTTAACTATATTTAAAAATTAGTGAACATCCCTATTAATTATATATTTCTTTTCAGGCATTATGGCACCAAAAATACGTGTACAATATTCAAAAGAAAAATTGTCTAGTGCCTTGGAAGCAATAAAAAATGGGATGTCAGTTTACGAGGCATCTAAAAGATTAGGATTGCCAAAGACCACTTTACGGGATAAACGTTCAGGAAGACTTAAAAATCCCAAGTGTGGAGTGCAACCTGTGTTTGCTGCCAATGAAAAAAAGTGTGTTGTGGATTGGATTCTTTATTTGGCGCAACAAGGGTTCCCTGTCACAAAATCCCAATTAATACACACAGTAGCTAATTTAATTAAAAACTTGGTCTGACAAAATCCATTTAAAGATGGTATTCCGGGAAATCACTGGTTTCAAAAATTCATGGAAAGACATCCTGAAGTTAGTACAAGAGTGTCCCAAAATCTTACCACAAGTAGGAGTAATTTCAGTGAGCAAAGTATTAGAGAGTGGTTCAGAAAGGTTGGGAATTATTTCACGAGCAACAATTTTATGAATATTTTTGAGGATGGATCCCGAATATTTAACTGCGATGAGACAGCTTTCTTTTTATGTCCCAAGGAGAAGCAAGTCTTAGCAAGAAGAGAAACAAATCTGGTGTATAATAGAATAGCTAATGATGAAAAAGAGTGTTTGACAGTATTGGCTAATGTATCAACAAATGGTTCACTTGCTCCACCAATGATATTATTCCCATATAAAAGACTTCCGAAGCATATTCCAAAAACTGTGCCACAAGGTTGGGGTTTAGGGTATACAGAAAGCGGCTGGATGAGTATGGAAGCTTTTTATGAATATATTGCGAATTTTTTTTATCCATGGCTCGAAAAACATAGAGTGCAGCTTCCGATTGTCTAGCGCTAAGTGAATTTTGCAAAGGGAAAGGTATAATATTGGGGGCATTACTGTGAAATTCGACCCACGTTCTGCATCCTCTAGACGTAGCTGTATTTAGACCGGTGAAAGCAACATGGCGAAACGTGGTACATGATTTCAGGCTTAATCATGAAATGGCCAAAATTAAACGAACAGACTTCTCAAGTTTAGTTAAGATTTGTTTCGACAAATGTTTAAAAGAAGATACAATAAAAAATGGATTTAAATGTTGTGGACTCTTTTCATTTAATTCATCAAAGGTTCAATACAACAAACTTTTCAAGACCAAAACCAAAATAGCAAAACATTTAACAGGGACTTTCGAAATTTCTAACAAAGATCAAAATAATCAAGAAACTCAAGAATATAAACAATTCAAACAGCAATTCGAAAATCGTTTGGGCCCTGAAACACTTTGTTTTTTCAAATCATCTGGCAGCTCTTGGCAAGGAGACTCTACTTTCGAAAAATTATTTGTGTATTGGAAATCTCTAGATGATAAAAATTTAGATGCAGACCTGGATAACAGAAATGAAGACTTACAAATTACTCTAAATGACACAACATTCATCAATAATATTTCCAGTATTGCGCACTTTAATGAAGATAACTGGGATGTTCTTGACTTCGAAGTCCAGGAAAATGGGAATCTCGCTATGTGTAGGTTCAATTCCTCCACTAGTGATGATTCCCAGGAACTAGTCTCAGACAAAACGAATAAGATTGTTATGGAAATTCACCCTGTTGTTAACACTAATAATTTAGAACATGGTGATAATTTTGATGTGAATGAATATAAAGATTACGATAGTATAGCAAAAACGCCTCAAAAGCTTGTTACACGCTCTGTGACTAACTTTGAAACGACAGATTTAAAACTGGTGCTAGAAAGTCCCCAGAGAACACAAAATGACATTTTTGAACAACTAAGCAAAGGAGATACTGAACAATTACCTTCAAATACACACGTATCTGCTCTACAGCACACGGAAAACCAACAACAACCAGAACAACAAAATTATAAAGACAACCGCATTAATGCAAACTCCACAGACATTTTTTTTTAGTTTAATTTCATATATTTTATTTGTTTTACTTAATATAATAAACACTTTTTTATAGTCAGGGGTGTTTTACTAAATATAGACAATGTTGATAACATCTGTTATCCCACAATCGGTA